CACTGTTTCACTGTATCTTTGAGATTCCAGAAGGTCTTAGAGGTTTCTATGGCTGGTATCACTGACAATCCTGTTGACAATCCTGGTCAATAAATGGAATAAAAAACTCTGCCATCCAGGCAACATGAAAGGCTTCCCGTATTGGCAGCTCCATGGGGGGAAGCCGCATGCACTATGTGCGCATCTCGTTTCCCTCCATGGGATCATCCTATAGGCTGACGAAGCAAGACAAAATGACTGCCTCCATTAAGAAGAGCGCCACTGTCACCAGCCATGTGATGAGGTCTTAAAATGGTGCAACAGAAATTGGCACAAAGTGCCACCGTGTAGAGCAGGGGTCCTCAAAGATTTAAAGCAAAGGACCAGTTCACAGTCTCTCAAACTGTTGGGAGGCCGGACAACAGTTGTTTGTTTGTTTGTTGTTGTGTGTCTTCAGTCTCTCAGATTGTTGGGAGGCTGGACTATAGGTAGTAGTAGTAGTAGTAGTAGTAGTAGTAGTAGTAGAGGATGATCCTTGTGTTTTATAAAAAAATGTAATTGGTTTTAGCCAGAAGGGGGCAATCTCAGCAAGAAAAAAGAGACTGCCTCTTGGGATTATTTATTTATTTACTGTATTTTAATGCTGCTTTTCTCACCCCTGGGGTGAGAAAGTGGTTTCCAGCATACTCATGGCAAAATTTAATGCCAACATACATGTGAAAAACCAAAACATAAAATTAAACAGTAACATATAACTGTGAATTAAACTATTAAAACCATATTAAACCATAAAACATAAGCAACATTTAGACATTGAGACATAGAATTTAAACATATTAATATAAACATTAAAATCACATGATTCAAAATCCCAGTCCAAGGCAATTCCAAATGTCGATTGCCCATAATTCCTGTTCATTTCTTGCACTGCTTACTAAACAAAGGTTGGTCCCACAGCCATGTCTTTACATTCTTTCTGAAGGCCAAGAGGGAGGGCACTGATCTAATTTAACTGGGGAGGGAGTTCCAAAGCTGAGGGGCCACCACTGAGAAGGCCCTGTCTGTCGTCCCGACCAACTGCACTTGCAAAGGAGGTGGGACCGAGAGCAGGGCCTCCCCAGAAGATCTTAATCTTTGAGATGGTTCACAGAGGGAGATACGTTTGGACAGGTAAGCTGGGCCAAAATAGTTTAGGGCTTATTTTTAAAAAAGCTAGCATTGCTCTACTATGCTGGGAATGTATTGGTGTTTTTCCTCCATTCATTGTGCACCTGCACACACAGCTCCTTCCTACATTGATCCTAAAAACATCTTCTGAAATAGGCAGGGCTAAGAGGGATTGATTGAGCCAAAGTCTGCTCAGGAAAGTTTCAATGGGCATCAAATTATATACAAATCAGCATGATTACTCAATGTGTTACCAAAATATAATGTGGGGTGACAAACTAAATGGATTGTAGCACTAAACATCAAATGTTTAGAGCATATGATTAAGTATTAATGGATAATCAGACAGTAAGCATCAACAAGTATCTGAGTCTTTAATGGGGAGTATTGGATATGTTGAACAGTAGGCCAACAGGACTTCTAGACTGCATTCTGTTTCAAAATACTTTCCTTGGTAAACTTCCCATTATACTGACAAAATGGATTAACACGATTGCAATGGAAGCATAAGCAAATGAACTTGGATCTTCTGTGTCTCAGTCCAACAGTCTAACTATTCTATTCAGTCCAACAGTCTAACTATACCAAACCAACTCTATTTTTTGTGTCAGGAGGGACTTGAGAAACTGCAAGTCTCTTGAGGTGTGAGAGAATTGGCTGACTGCAAGGACATTGCCCAGTGGACGCCTTGATGTTTTTGATGTTTTATCATCCTGCGGGAGGCTTCTCTCATGCCCCTGCATGGGGAGCTGGAGCTGATAGAAGGAGCTCATCTGTGGTCTCCCTAGATTCAAACCTCCGACCTGTCAATCTTCAGTCCTACCAGCACAAGGGTTTAACCCATTGCACCACTGGGGGCTCCATAACTCCAAATTGACAATTATAGAGTGCATCTACAAAGTAGAATAAATGCAGTTTGAAACAGCTACAGGCCACAATATTGAACCTCCAAAGTCATAAGCCCTGTGTGTTTGTGTGTGCCTTCAAGTCACAAGTTGATGTGAGCCTCATTTTTCTTTGACAAAAAAGTGGAAAAGGCTACCATCACCTATTTGATTAGATGGGATAAAAGACATGTCTGCTGAATCACTTAATATTGGAATAGAAAAGGGAATTGCAGAAGGTGAAACTTCTTGTATTTCCCCAGCCTGCATCTACAGCTCCTCCTGCCCATATGAAAAAGTTCACAGGTAAAGTTAATCTCTCAGTTGCATACTTAAAGTACAGAGAAGATGCCCTTTTTCAATTGCTTGTATAAGCCACTTCAAGTTGTAAGAATTGGAATATTTTAATATTGCTGGTATATATGGATCTGTCAGGGTCTGCAATACAGATGAAGATGAAGGGCTGCTAGGCCCAGCATCTGAGTCAGTGGAAAGCAACAACAGCTGCAGCCTGACACTGAGGAAGCTACCCCTGCAGTGCAGGACCAAGTGCCTCAGGCAAGGGGGAGACTTGAGTTAACTCAGGATCAGGAGAGCAACGAGGCAGAGTTAAGTATCCTAGAAAGACTGCAACTGAGGACTCATGCTATTCATAGCACTTGTGCTATGGAGCATAAAGAGTGGCAGATTGGATTTGGTCTTTGCTGGGAGTAACGTTTGGAACCTGCTACAGCTATAGTTTGGATGTGTTGGTAAGGACCTTTGGACTGGAATATTGACTACGCTTACTGGATTATCCCTGCCTAGTTTGTTTGAATCTACTTTGGCTTTGACCCCGGACTGACTGACGACAAGCATACCGAGTGACTGTTTAAAGTGAGAGATGCTGTGCAGGATTGAGACAGGAACAAACTTCATGGTCCTATTGATAGCTGCAGAGACAAACCGGAATGCTTCTGGAATAGTTTAAATTATTTGATTATGCCAATCTTAACCATTTAATTTGTTTACAGTTTTTAATTTTTTTCATGATGTTTGATTATAGTAAGAGAAGGCAGTACAAAAAATGAATTCACATCACTTTCACACATTTTTAGAACACCAATATGTTCTAAATCTACCATCTCTTGTGACACTTCAGTCTATTCTATTTTCTCTTCTTATGATCCAGTACCTTTTTTTGCAACTTGTGGCTTTCTAAACATGAATTGGGACATGTTCTAAAACAGCTGCAAAACATCCTTTATAAGAAAAAAAAACCTCTGGTGGTTTCCTGTGAGTTTAACTTTTTTTTTAGTTCCAATATTCCCAGGTTGTTTACAGGAAAGGAGGTCAATGTTTTTTTTTTTCAATTTCTCCACTACGCTTCTTTCAAACTTCTAAAATTCTCTGTGGGTTGTAAACATTTAATCATTATTTGTCATGACAGTTATATAGAGTCTTCATATATTGGAGCAAATTGTACGTGTGAATTCTAAACAAGAACAAATTCTCAGGTTATGAGGTGCTGATGAAAGGTCACCAAGGTCGTGATTGGTGGTCTATTTCTTCAAAAGATGTTTTATACACAAGGCTATAAAATATACACACATTAAATGAGTGAATAGGGACCTGCAGATACTGGGGGGCTCCCAACTACGTAAACTGGGCATATTGAGTATTTGTGCTAAATTTGGTTCACATCTATCATTGTGTCCACAGTGCCCTCTGGATGTAGGTCAACTACAACTCTAAAACTCAAGGTTTTTTTCCGTGTCAGGAGTGATTTGAGAAACTGCAAGCTGCTTCTGTTGTGAGAAAATTGTCTGTGTGCAAGGACGTTGCCCAGGGAATGCCTGGATGTTTTGATGATTTTACCATCCTTGTGGGAGGCTTCTCTCATGTTCCTACATGGGGAGCTGGAGCTGACAGAGGGAGCTCATCCACGCTCTCCCCAGTTTCGAACTTGCGACCTGTCAGTCTTCAGCCCTGCCAACACAAGGGTTTTTACCCATTGTGCCACCGGGGGCTCTAAGGTAATAATAATAATAATAATAATAATAATAATAATAATAATAATCTTTATTTATACCTCGCCACCATCTCCCCAACGGGGACTCGGGGTGGCTTACATGAGGCCAAGCCCAACAGCATATTACAATAAAATAAAAACCGAAGCACAAGACAACACAGTAAAGTATATAAAACATATGAGTACAGTAAGCAATATAAAATTCAAGGTCAGTGTCCACCAAACCCTTCCAATATGTTCTCTTGGTCATGGGAGTTCTGTGTGCCAAGTTTGGTTTAATTCCATCGTTGGTGGAGTTCAGAATGCTCTTTAACTGTAGGTGAACTATATATCCCAGCAATTACAACTCCCAAATGATAAAATCAACACCCTTCCCCAATCAAATTTGGGCGAATTGGGCATTTGTGCCAAATTTGGTCTAGTGAATGAAAATACATCCTGCATCTCAGATATTGACATGACAATTCATAACAGGAGCAAAATGACAGTTATGAAGTTGCAACGAAAATAATGTTATGACTGGGAGTCACCACAACTTGAGGAACTGTCTTAAGGGGTCGCGGCATGAGGATGGTTGAGAACCAGTGCTGTAGAATTCATGCAGTTTGACATTGCCATGACACAATGGTAAGGAAGGAAGTCATGGGAGTTGTGGTGCCCTTTTCTTGACAGTCTTCATTCTGTTTCCTTTGTTTGGGAAGTCAAGGGAACGAGAGATGATTTCAGATTGCATGAACTCTGCAGCAAGATCCAGCCCAAGCCAAGCCTCGTCCACCCGCCTCCAGTTGGTGTAAACAGGAAGACCAGAACTCGGCGTGGCGCCCGTTGCCTGGGGAGCCCCGACTCTTGCCCTGGAGCCTGCTTTCCGAGTCAGAGCGCGCAGGCTTGCCAACAAGAAGCGTGGTGTGCGCCTCCTTTAGCTTTGACAGCCCTCAAAGGGCATTTGCTGGCATTTCTCCGCTTAGACGCAGCCTCTCAGCATTTCTCCGGAGCCTTGGCGAGCGTTCCTCGGAGCCTCCGCGAGGTTTTTCGGGTCTAAAGGTGGGGTTTCCTTTCCTCCCCGCCGCCTTTCTTTCTCCTTGGGACCCGATCTTTGCAAGGAGAGAGCCAGAGGCTGGAGGAGATCAGGTAGGTTCATCCCTTGTAAGCAGGCATTGGGCAAACCTGGGCCCTCCAGGGGTTTTGGACTTCAACTCCCGCAATTGAATTGCGGGAGTTGAAGCCCCAAACCCCTGGAGGGCCCAGGTTTGCCCAATGCCTGCTTACAAGGCTCAAGGTCAAGTCTGTTCTTCTTTTGGAGTGCTTTCATTGGGTATTCTTCCTTGGCAAGGGACACCTTCGATTTGATGAGATCTGGCATCACTTTAACCACCATGTCCCAATGCTACACGATGATGGAAGTTGTAGTTTCCCAAGATCTATAGCAGGCATCTTCAAACTGTTGCTCTCCTGAGATTCCCACCCCCAATTCCTTTTCAATGGCCAATGGGGGCCCAAACAGCTGGAGGACTGCCAGTTTGAGGATGTCTTACCAAACTACAGGAGCCCCCAGTGGCGCAATGGGTTAAACAAGGCATCCTCAAGCTGCGGCCCTCCAGCTGTTTGGGCCTCCCACTCCCAGAATTCCTGACTATTGGACAAACACATTTGGGTTTCTGGGAGTGGGAGGCCCAAACATCTGTAGGGCCGCACTTTGAGGATTCCTGAGTTAAACCCTTGTGCCGGCAGGACTGCTGACCGAGTGGTTGGCAGTTTGAATCTAGAGAGTGGGGTAAGCTCCCATCTGTCAGCTCCAGCTTTTCACATGGGGACAAGAGAGACTGATTTATTTACTTACTCAGGTGATGCCATCTACTAGTCACCCATAGAAAACTGCCCATAGAAAATCATTCAAACTGGAACTGATGCAGTCTCTCCAATGCAATTTTCTATATCAGTGCCCCAAATAAACCCAGATGATGGTCCTCCAAGTGTAGTGTATTGGTGGTGGGTCTGTAGGTGACTGTGGAGCCTATTCTTGATCTCCATGTTCTCCCGCAGTGAGGACATTGGTTTTCAGGTGGAAGGAAGTCCCAGTCAGGGTTGGCTTGACGCTCCTTCTTCTTGGCACATTTCTCACTTTCACCCTCAATTCGTGCCTCTTTGAATTCTGCAGCACTGCTGGTCACAGCTGACCTCCAGTTAGAGTACTCAAGGGCTACCCTCTCACAGGATGGCAAAACATCCTGGCATCCCCTGGGCAATGTCCTTGCAGACGGCCAATTCTCTCAGACCAGAAGTGACTTCCAGTTTCTCGAGTCACTCCTGACATGGAAAAAAACAAACCAACTACAAATACTAGTATGCCAAAGCCTTGCGCCATGGCAGCTACAGTGAGATCATATTGCCTGAATGCTACAGCATGGACACATCAACAAAAAGGGGCAGGACTGAATGGTCTCTGGAGTCTCCATCTCTGTATGATTCTATTTATATATGGAGTGGGGTTCAGGTTAAGTGTTGTACAGATTGAGCATTCCTGATCAGAAATCCAGAATCTTCCCAAATTAGCCATTTGGGGGCCCTTCCACACAGCCCTATGTCCCAGAATATCAAGGCAGAAAATCCCACATTATCTGAGTGTGGACTCAGATAACCCAGTTCAAAGCAAATATTGTGGGATTTTCTGCTTTGATATTCTGGGATATAGGGCTGTGTGGAAGAACCCTGGGTGTCCCAGTGTAGACTCATATAATCCAGTTCAAAACAGATAATAATAATAATCTTTATGTATATCCCGCCACCATCTCCCCAAGAGGACTCGAGACAACTTACATGAGGCCAAGCCCAACAATACATACATCAGTAAATCAACACAGCAATAAACAAGGAAAACAAACAAACAAATAAATAAAAATAAAAATACAATGCAAAGCCATTATAAATAACATATCAGCAAAAACAAGACAAAACTCCAACACTAAGGGCAGGGCCAAATCTAATAGATTAAACATTTAAAATACTGGGTGTGAGCAGTAGTAAAATGAATCTGAACAGGGGTTTTTAGAGAGTAAGGTAGGGTGATTGACCCAACAGGTAGGATAAAGTGCTTCAGAGGACATTTTGCAGAACATTGGTCAGAACAGGGAGTTAGTCTGGATTTTATATGGCAGTCAATATGGGGACTGAGATAGTGACACACTCGCTTTTTGATGGTTCAGGTTACACAAACAAATTGCAGAAAATAATTTAAAATGTTAAATAATATTGCCCTTAGGCTGTGTGCATGAGGTGTGTAGGAAACATAAATGAATGTTAGGTTTACACTTGGGCCCCAACCCCAAGGAAATCTTGCATATTTAAAAAGATACATCTGTAGTGTATCCCAAGTTCTTCTCAGCCCAACAACAAAACAATCTTGGTGACTTGGTTTTGAGGCCTGTTCCTGGGCTTATTTGGGGGCACCGATTTAGAAAATGGCATTGGAGAAACTGCATCAGCTGTAGTTTCCTAGATATGGTTAACATGAATTTCTATGGGTCAGCAGATGGTGACTGGGAGATGGCATATGTTCAATATCTCAAAACTGAGGGCTGATAGGGAAAAACTGGTGACATTTTTTGAATCAGCAGGTGAAATATATCCAGGACCCTTCCACATAACTGAATAAAATCCCACATCTGCTTTGAACTGGAATATATGGCAGTGTGAACTCAGATAACCCAGTTCAAAGCAGATATTGTGAGATTTTCTGCCATGATATTCAGGGTTATATGGATTTGTGGAAGGGCTCCCAGAAACGGGCTAACATTCAAAGGACCAAAATCTAGAATACAAAACATTTCTGTCCTAATAATTTCAAACAAGGGATACCAACTTTTACTTTAGATTCTAGTGGAAATAAATTGTACATGACACGAGCCTTTTTCACAAATCAGAACATGCAAGGATAAGCCTTTTACTTTCCAGTGCACACTCTCTCTGCAGAGTTATAGAACAATTCTTCCTAGGATGTGTAGTTTAGGGAGGGATAGTTACAATTCTCAGCCAGTTTTCCTGAACTGCAGATCCCAGGATTACATCGGATGGAACCTTGAAGTTAAAGGGGAACAATAGCATTGAGAATGGGTAATGTGAATCTCCTCTAGAGCAGAGAGAAGCCTGTTTAGTTTTTAGTCTCAACCTTAAATGAGTTACCCAATGTGCTCTTCCTTTTTTGGTACACTTCCTTCCGACTAGAGTTCAAGTCATAAGAAATAGTGGTTTCTAATTTGTTCTGACCTCAAAATACCCCCATTTGAAGTTCTGCAACCTCTGAAAATGAGGTTTTGTATTGTGCAGTGCAACCTCCTTAATCATGACATTTTATGGAGTCTTGTCATCTTTCTATTGCAATTGTCTCTTTTCTACCACTTTCTGGACAAATGACACAGGGTAGCCTCTTAATGCCTTTTAGTCATTTGTATTGCTTCTTCATTGGAAGCAATGGAGTCCTCAGTGGCGGAATGGATTAAATCCTTGTGCCAGCAGGACTGTTGTCCAAAAGGTTGGTGGTTCAAATCCAAGGAGCGGGGTGAGCTCTCGTCTGTCAGCTCCAGCTTCCCATGCGGGGATATGAGAGAAGCCTCCCACAAGATGTTAAAACATCCGAGCACCCCCTGGGCAAAGTCCTTGCAGACAGCCAATTCTCTCACACCAGAAGCAACTTGCAGTTTCTCAAGTTGCTCCTGACATGAAAAAAAAAGGAAGCAATTCAGGTTAAGCTTTTCACAGTCAGGATACTTCAAAATGGATGGTTACTCGCACTACTAACCACGACAGTTTTAAGCAAAGTGTTTATTATGATCTTGCCATGTCTCATTCAACAAGTGTATCTGTGCTATATTCATTGTATCAGTTTGCTTCAACGTTGTGAATTCTGTGAGCTTAAATCGTAAAGTACATAAATAAAAAAAATTCCAACTGGGTGTAACGTTTTCCAAATAGGTGTTCTTCTAGTACAGAAATATTTGTAGTCTGCTATAATATTAACAATGTTTAGCAAGATGAATAATCCAAATAGCAAATTTGCCTCATATCTAGAGTCAGAATCTGACATAAGAAGGGGCTGGGGCCAGAAGAAACTCCAAAGGTTTCCACTTTGGTTATGCAAATATTCTTTTGTGTAAAAATAATTTTCCAGCTGAAATCTTATCTGCAGTTTTAGTTCTCATTTTAGTCATATCCTGATGTAGCCTATATATTATAATTCTCTGTGTTCTAACTTTTTTCCAGAGGAGAAACAGCTACATTAATTTAAGAATGTCTTTTGAAAAACTGACTGTTGTGGTGTTGCTGATCTTTGGCTTTGTCAGCCCAGGTAAATGTAACTCAGTGTTTTCTTCTTAATGCAATTTATAACAAGTTAAAATCGTTTTCTGTTGTTGTCACTTATTTTCTACTTTAGCACTCAATGAGCAATTATCGATAATCAGAAGACAGATTAAAAACAAATCAAAACTACTTTAAAAGCAAATTAGGGCCATTCCACACAGGCATATAATCCAGAATATCAAGGCAGAAAACCCCACAATATCTTCTTTGAACTGAGTTATCTGTGTCCACACAGCCATATATTCCAATTCAAAGCAGATAATGTAGGATTTTATTCAGCTGTGTGGAAGAAGCCTTAGACAATAAGACATTGTAATCACAATATTAATCAAGCAATTAACATTACAGGCATACATCAGTTAACAAACCTCCAGTCCTCTTTTCAGAGAGCTAGTGTGGTGTAGTGGTTTGAGTACTGGACTACAACTCTGAAGACCAGGGTTTGAACCATTGCTTGGCCATGGAAACCCTCAGGGGGATCTTGGTCACATCACACTCTCTCAGCCTTAGAGGAAGGCAAAGGAAACCCCCTCTGAACAAATTTTGCCAAGAAGCCCCCTATGATAGCTTCGCCTTAGGGTGAACTTGTTGTTTCATTTCACATGTGCATATTGCTTTGTATGAATGACAACTTTGCTGGAACACATTGAACTGCTCTTTTTTGTGATGTAGGAATCTGTACTTATACTTTCTATCTTATTTCTGTCTCTGGTATCAAATATTATTTTGAAGACATCATGTCTGTCGTCATTGTTAACTGAAGTATACATGTCATGTCATGTATTCAAAGCCCTGGCAGTTAAAAGTGGTCTATAGCATTATAATTATGTAAAGTGAAAATGCTTGTCAAAATTGCACTGTCTTTAGCCTCACACATGAAATATGCCAATATAAAGACTGTCTGAGAGGCTTCAGTTGCTGCAACATCTTTAAGACAGATGTTTAGAGAGCCTCCTTTTTATTTTTAAAAAAGAATGTTTATTAAATTTTTAAACATACACAGGCTAAAATAACAAAGAAAAAAACAATTAGTTATACAAAGACATGTGCACTTAACCCCCTCATCTAAACCCAATCCCACCACCACTACAACACCAAAAGATAAACACACTAAAAACTATGGAAACAGGGTAGGGAAGGTTGTAGGGGTAAAGACATTGGGGTTTGGAAAGGGGAAGGGGAAGAGAATCCTGCACTAAGGATATGGTTAGAACTTCCCATCTTCTTTATCATGGTTAGTATTTCTTCTTTGTAGTCTTTCTATTATCCCGATTGTGCTCTTCTCTTCTCTTTCCTCTTGAATGGCCTGGCAGTGAGTTGATCTGTCTATCTATGTCATTGCTTTGAAGTTATTTTGAATTAAGTAGTCTCTCACTGGATTCTGGTTTGTTTCTTCTTTGTATGTGCCTCGTATGTGCCTTCTTAAAGGCAAGAAAAGTTGGTACTGATTGTTAATTTGGAATGCATTCCACAATTTGGGAGTAATACATACAAGCAATTCTCAAACATTGAGATTGCAGATAGACAGTCTGTAACAAAACAGGTAGTCCTTAAGTCTCCTTCAAATTTGAGAAAGACGAGATAAAAATATTGTAAATAAATAAATAATTAAACAAATAAACCAAACCCAAAACAAGAGTTTGAAAGGTAGAGGGCAACTCCTTCAATTGGGCCTAGGAAGCACTTGCAACAAGTTCATATCTTTTGATGTTGGTTTAACATGATCTCAATACATGCTCCATAGTTGTGTTACAGTGGTGCAATGGGTTATACCGCTGAGCTGCTGAACGTGATGACTGGGTTGGCAGTTCAGATCCCTGGGATGGGGTGAGCTCTTGCTGTTAGCCCCAGCTTCTGCTAACCTAGCAGTTCAAAAACATGCAAATGTGAGTAGATGAATAAGTATGTTCTCGGTGGGAAGGTAAATGGCGCTCCATGCAGCCACGTGACTTCGGAGGTTTCTACGGACAACACGGGCTCTTCAGCTTAGAAATAGGGAAGAGCACCACCCCCCAGAGCCAGAGATGAGCACCACCCCTCAGAGCCTTTACCTTTATCTGTGGTTTGTTGTTTCAAGGCATTGTATATTTGCCTTTGTCTTTGCTGGAAGCCGCCCTGATTCCCCGCTGGGAGATAAGGCAGAATACATATAAAGTATTATTATTATTATTATTATTATTAATTATTATTATTATTACTAACCAGTTAGTTGTTGTGTGTTGTCTCAGCTGAAGCTTCCCAGACAGTTTTCAAGATTGGCACTGCAGTAGTTAAGACACAGTGCAACTCATATGTGAGTATCTGCTTCTATGTAAGGCTGACTTGGAAAAAATGATAGCAAATACACTAAGCCAAATTGTGCAAAAGCATTCTTTGCCACTGCTGCCAACTAGCAAGCTAAGAACAGTGCAGATTCAACAGGCATTTTCACTTGCACGATTATAATGCTATATTCCAATTTTTAACTGCCAGGGAAAAATTTGGGATGTGTAACTTGGTGAAGCTCTCTCACTGAGAATTTGAATGCCTTCCACTAAGCTGCAAATCTAGAATTTCATAGGATGTTGTCAGGGCAGTTAAAATGGAATATAGTCTTATAATGACATAGATTGTGTGGAAGGACAAAGGGTGTACTCTTAAAGTATGAACATGACTGTTGTGGCATAGCACAATCAGGATGGAAAGCTATCTTGTTGGGGTTGAATTTCATTCTGATCCAGACCATTCTCTAAACCGGAGAGCGATTCAATGGTGTTGACTCCTTCCTTATTGTAAGTACAGTGCTGTTGGACATGCTAGCATAATAGTGACACATAAGTACACATTTCTTTACATTTCTTTGCATTTTCAGTATCTTCAGTCTGTAGGAGAATAACTGGACAAATGTTTGCTAAAGTTATGTCAATCTGATATACTAAAAAGTAATTTTTCAAAGCCTAATTAGGAATAGGATTAGTATAAATCATCATTTTCCAGACTTTGGGAAAGGCCATAAATATATTGTCAAGACCCAGAAGCCTTAATTAGAGCCAAACACAAAATAAGAGTTCAAACACAGCTTTATTGTACAAAAATAGTCTTTCAAAGCACTTAACTTCAGTGCTAAGAGTCTCAGGAGTAACTTGGCATCAAAAACAAAGTGATACCAGGAACAAAAATATAACCCGGATTATAGCGCTGCCTTATAATCTGGATTAAACTAAAAGTTAAGCAATTCGCTTGAAAATTGGCACAGCACAAAAACACAGTCACAGAAGATGGAAAAATGAAGTCCCAAAATGAGGAATTGTTCAAGCACAAAGTTATAAAAGTTCAAAGTCCAGAAAGCCAAAAACAATAGTCAAACCGGTCCGTGGTCAAGCCGTAGGTAAACAAACGCTGGAACACAGGAATCTCCGAGGAACAGGAATTCAGGAACACACAAAGCTGTAGCCCAGGGATCCAGTTCAAGAGTTGGCAGTACAAAGAGTTATGTCCAATAAAGACGCTTTGCCTTCTGCAAAGTATCATGCAAACAGACCCCACTTTTATCTCAAAGTTCCTCATCAGAGCTTGATGAGCTCCCCACCCTTTCTTCATCGCTCTCAGCTGCCCCCAACCTGGCAGCTGAATCCGAGCGCCCATCCCTCCACCTCTGCCAGCGTCTGCTAAGACTTAGATCCTGACAAGAGGTCCCTGGCTGCCAATCCTCAGTGAACCCCTCAAACTCCTCACTAGAGGTGGGTTGATTGCAAATGTCCCTTATTTGTTGAACACGGGTCCAATCCAATCCCTCCTCTTCCATATCACTCCCAGACCCAGAACTCTTTTCAAAACCCAGGAAATCCTCATCCTCTGTTGGCGCACTAAGTATTTCCCGAATGCGCTTCATTTGCAATTCCCCTTCGGATTCCGGCTCGCGAGCAGCCCTCTTTACACCTCTGCTCCCTTCCCCATCCCCCATCTCACAATCAGAGAAGCCTTGAAACGTGTCAGTATCACTTGGTGCCATAATGATTTCCCTAATGCGCTTACGCTGCTGTTCTCCCTTCGACTCCTGAGCAGACCTTTTCTCCCTGCTACCAGGAGTAGCAACACTACCAACATGCTGAACTACAACATATATACTGTATTTATATATGCATTTTCAAAATTCTTTCAAGGTAAACTCTGCAAGCTATACCATGTATTAGAAGATGAATATTTTTCAATTGGCTGTCCTGCTGTAAAACAAGATAAAGGATATACTATAACTTGGCATAGAGAACAAAAAGAGAAGTCGATGGAAATTCAAGAAGACCACAGAATTGAAATGGATGGGAGATATTTGCAATTTTGGCCTGTTGCATTGAATGACACTGGGAAATATAATTGTTGTCTCAGGTAGGTGCAGTAGGTGCCCAAATGAATAAACACAAGTATGCTTATTTTTCAGTCTTAATTACTCTTCATATTAATTTCATATGAAGAAAAGCAGTGTTAGTCCATATTTACATTAGTAGTAGTCACTACATAGCATTTTGAAATGCATTTTTTCAGTTCTTTAAAAACAGAGGTGCCAAGGTTAATCGCTCCAACTTTAATATCTTACATCGTTGTCATTGGATTTATCCTGAAACAACACTGAATTAATAACCTTTAGCAGTTGTGGTTTTTTTTTCTTGTAAGAAATCAACAATGTTTGCATAGTTAGGAAAGCCTCCTGTGTTTTGCTAGGGGTTTTCTAAGAGGCCTTCTTTTGGGTCAATTCCCCTTGTGTCCTCAGATCCAGTATTTAAGTACAAAGGAAGTTGCAAGGGTCAAAAACCCATTCTTCTAGGAATGTTATCTGGATTTAGTCCATTATTACAGATATCATTTTACTACTTCCCTTTATAAATAAATAAATAAATAAATAAATAAATATTTTAAAATTAAATTGTTATTTTTTAAAGGCAGTGGCCCTCTTTGTAAAAAACAACGGTTTATTGAAATTGAATCCTAATTTTAATGCAACTCAGGATATTAAAATCTACCTTAATTTTCTTTTAAAATGTATTTTGAATATTACATGCAAACCTCAGATAACTATAATAACCTGTGGACTTTCCTCACATTAAACTTTACAAAAACTTATTTTTTTACCTGATATATGAGACTGTGAGCAAAAACATGACTTGGAGTTGTCTGGAAAAGGGTTTGACTTGCTGCTGCTGGAGAAGGCTGTTGGGAATGAATCAACATTTGTGCTGGCCAGAGAAGCACAGTTAGCTTTTGATTTTCTGATGCCACAAGGGGATCAGTGGACCTGACCAATTTTAACAACTGGTTTGGGTGAAGGTTCATCTGCCTACCACCACACTAACCTGTGGAGAGGAGAGAGAAGAAACACTGGATCTAATATTTCCTTGGCTTTTCCTCACTATCACTAAGAATCTAGGGCATTTGAATAACTGATTTAGCTGTGCACTTTTCAATCTTTTTTTATTTTGCTAAAACATCCCTTTAAAAGAGATCTGACAAGTATTTCTCAAAAGTCTTCTGTGCTGCTGCTTGTTAAGATTTCTCTCCCACACATCAAGTCCATACTGTGTCTTTTGTGGCTATCAACAATTGGGTCATGAAGACTGAATCAGAATCTTGAAAGGAAATCATCACCTCGTTTTAGTAGGGCATGTAGATTGGAAAGGAGATGACTATACTCTGAGAAAGCTGATTTTTCTGACATAGAAGGCTTCAGGGAGTTGTTGAATTCACAGTCCTGATACATTATCTAGATATACAGGTGGAACTGCAAAAAAAGTTATTTAAAGCTTATATTCTGCACAGGTAATTCTTACTAAGTTTAGTGAGGTTATAGTCTAATGTGTTTTAACATTTATGACATCTGTCAATCCCTTAATCACCATGGTTGATTTGGTTGATCTGACTGGCTAGGTGAGGATCTCCTTTCTCATCCACTATTCCATGTGTGTCCGTTGTTGAAGCAGGATGTTTAGTGGAAGAGGGTGACTATCCCAGATAGAAGTGTATTGTCAGTCAAGGCCTTACAATATCTATACTTCCTTGCTACAACTTGTAAACAGCTCAGCACCCATTTATAGGAGAATGTAGTGTCAAGAATTACAATACAGTTGGCCTTCTACACTTGTAGATTTGATTTTTGTATATTTGATTATTATGGATTTGATTAAAATCTTCTTTCCATGAATCTCTAGATGGAAAAATACATTCCTAGGGAGGTATTTTTAAAATTCACTTTAAAAAAAACTTTCATAGAGTGTTCTGCTTACCTGTGTAAATATGAGGGGCTGCATTAGTAAAAATTGGCTAAATGAATGAGCATTATTTAGCATCTAATTCCATGTGAGTGCATGTGGGACAGTAACTGTTTAGCTTCTGCTTTGCCACTTTGATCATTCTGCTTGAGAGATCTACTATTATCTCTCACATTTCCTAACAAGAGTTGTGGGGGTTGTAATCCAATCAATACAGTTAATAGTGGATTCTGACTCAAGGCCCAGAAAGAAAGAAAAATCCAAACTCAGGGTAAGAATATAGTTGTCCTTTCTCATTTGGCAAGGCAAGAATATTGTTGTTTTCGTCAGTGTTGTTTCATTTTGACTAGCTGTATCTTTCTACTTTGAGGCCTTAAATGTCTGGTTTTTCCAGGAAGCCTCTCAAAAATGCACACATTGACTAAGGGCCTCATCACACTAGAGAAAAAAAATCCACTTAAAATCCAGTTTCTGCCTTCCACAGAATTTTGGGGTTTGTAGTTTAGGGATGAGCCTTTAACAGCATCATTAAACTACAAACCCCAGAATTCTGAAGGAGGCAGAAACCAGATTGTAAGTGGATTTTCTCTCTCTAGTGTAATGAAGTTTTAAGGGCAAGAAAGATATGGCATATGTTTGTACTAATCATGATAAAACTTCTTCTGCTTGAAAATTATGTATAGTGACATTTTTCTCCATTATGCCTCACAGCAATGGGACAGAAGTCATCAGCTGTTACCAATGGTCCCTAAACATTATCAAAAGGAATAAAGAAAGTTGTTTCACGGCAGATCATGTGTTAACTGGGATACCAGGAATAGTTGGAAAATCCTATCTCTTTACATGCAATGATGTCCTTCATACTGCCAGTGTTTCCAACATAACATGGTACAAGGTATTTCTTGAAAACCACTTTTACTTATAGTATACTTCTCCTTATATAACTACTTTTAAACTGTTTTAAATAGGATATCTTATGCAATTCCTTTTTTTTAGATCTTTGTTATTTTCACTGATCATTTTAAACTGTATTTTATTTTAATCTATCTGGCATGTTGCTCTAGATGTCACATTGGTAGAAAGGTCGGATATAAATAATAAATACTTAGACAGATGAAATGAAATAGGCTGTTAGTTGTTCTCAGCTTACACACACAAACACACACACAATAGCAGATCACAGCTTTAAAATAATAAAAAACAAGCAAACCACAGCCTCAAAAGCCTTGTGTGTAAAGGCAGGACGGGAATGGTGAGTTTCACAATTTTAGTGATGTTATTGAAAAGGCCTCATATTTTGTACACACTCATTTGTTGTTGCACATGGACCACTCTTTTGAAGTACGGCTCTGCAGCAGATAATTTTAAGTACTTTACCAAGCTGCAAATCCCAGGGTTTTGTAGGATAATGCCATGGCTGTTAAAGCGGTACAAGACTGTTATAAATATGTGGTATAGATGCACTTTGAGGATGAGTGGGTGACAAGACTACATCTTCAGTGTAGAATTAATGCAATTTGGCATCATTTAACTCCCATGGCTTAATGCTATGGAATGATGGGAGATTTTTTTAACAAGGTCCCTAACCAAAGTGATGGTTCCTCACCAAACTACAAATCTCAGGATTCCAATATATGGAGCCATGTCATTTAAAGTGGGTATCCAGTTGGGATTTCCTGGTTTAGCTACCCAGAGGGATAGTCTTGCTGATGCTGGGGGAATGTTAATAGGAGTGGTGGTTCTAATGAAGCTTTTCCTTGATTTGAGTCTACTGGGAGGAGGCTTTCACAATGTTCAACCTTATTTCTCTCACAGTTAGCAACATTGCTTTTAAACATTTTATTGAGCAATAATGGGAACTGTAATGTAATAATAGTAAGAACTGTAATTATACAAGTGTTCTTTGAAAGCCTTAAACATTTGCCTAGTGGTTTCAATTAACACAATGTTGGTGAAATTTTAGTCCTCTCCTGTAATCAGTAAAAAGTGTATAGAAAGCAATCATTATGCTTATCAAAACAATTATTTAGAGTACAAGGATCAGTTCTCCATATCTGCACAAAGGTGTTGGTGCTCATAGTATTCCATACTTCTTCATGTTTTGGATTGGCAAGTTTTATGCTAATCATATTTCTCCTTTGAATCATTTGGTACTTAAACAGAACTGCGAAAGGATTGTGAGCCAGACAGAAGAAAAATGGCATATCGAACAGTTAAAAGCTGAACATAGTGGAAAATACACATGTGTGAAATCACTTGTTCATGGAGGAAGGACATACAATACTACAATTACAATAGACCTAATAGTGAATGGTAAGCTTCAACAAAACCATTTAACAACTTGGGCCTTGGTTGGTTATGGCAAGAATACAGAGAACTATCCTTTTCACAGGCCGTTATATTAAATGTAATGTATTCTATATTATGGTAAATATAATATTAAATAACCACAGGAAAACATGATTGTAAACATTCCTTTGTAATATAGGAAACTTCTTCAAAGCTAGGGATGTGTCTGGGCAGATAGGACAGGAAGATGAAAAATACAGATCTTATTACTTGCAGGAGCCCCCTGTGGTGCAATGGGTTAAACCGTTGTGCCAGCAGGACTGCTGACCTAAAGGTCGGTGGTTTGAATCTAGGGAGTGGGGTGAGCTCTCATCTGTCAGCTCCAGCTTCCCATGCAGGGACATGAGAGAAACTTTCCATAAGATGGTAAAACATCCAGGCGTTCCCTGGGCAACGACCTTCAGATAGTCAATTCTTTCACACCAGAATTTGACTTGCAGTTTCTCAAGTCACTCCTGACATGGAAAAAAAAACCTTGCAAATCTACTCCTTGGATTGGAGGACTCAGAATCCCTATCAAGGATGCCATGCTGTCTGGGGATTTGGGAAGCTTTCTGTGTTTTTGGGCCTCTGACCTTGAAGAATTTCATAAAGAGAATTTTGTAGACTGTCCACTGTCCGGTGGGTTTACATTTTTAATAAACTCTTAGTATCTGTGCCATTTATTTGTGGTGTATTGTTCTACAAGCTGAACTGCCACCTTTAAATGAGTGATCGGTTAAATTTAATGGATTTAAAACCTTTTAAATTAGCTAAAGAGTCATCTCTGCTGAGCTGCATAGCATATTTTTTGTAATAAAATCATTTAATAGTTTTATCCTAGAGTGAATTTGTTGAGATTTATTGGTCGATTGAATCTGGGTTTCAAGTAACAATTTCTCTTTTTCTCTCTTTCAGGTGATAAAGAACTCACAGGACCAGCACTAATTGGATCAGATCGCAGTACTTCCAAAGCAGAAATAGGTACCTCTCATTGTTTCTAACATCACAACCTTTTTGTCAATCTTTCTGTATGTATCTGTTCAGATTTACATATAATATCTCATATACTATAGCAAACATTTGTTGCAGATTTGTTAAGGATATAGACATGCTAGCCTGGGTGATGATGGTGGAGGAATGTGTTGTATATACAGTCATAAGACACAACAAGGTTTACATACATCCTGGGACCCGAATATTGCAAAGTTTAGGGTGCATGGAAACCTTCACCATATAGCTGTAAATAGAAAGGCTTTCTCCATATACTATATACATTGATGCTACTGAAGTATGACAGGTGGACTTACTTGGTGAAATCAACAGCATCTTCAGAAGGTTGACTTTTGTAAGCATTGCATTTTTTATTATTAGCTTTCACATTTATTTCACATTTATGTGAATAGTGGAAATCAATACAAGGATTGTCATGTTGCTATGGCCATGGCTGTAGCCAAGAGCGGGGGCAGGGGCGGTGGTGGTGTTTGGAGGTTCAATCCCCCCCCCCTTGAAAATTTTCAGGTTAAAAAAACTGGTTTACTCATGAAATTTTAACTGGTTGACCAAATCCCCCTGCTAAGTCTATGAAAAGTAAAAATTAAACAAGTCTTTCCAGAACTACAAGCACTATCTCAAGCAAATTTTGACAACTTATTCACAGTCATTACTTGCAGCAATAGCTGATATAGTGAAAGCAACCAAGTTGGCCCACCCATGACTGGTAGGCAAAGCCTAAGGCATGGTAGGGATTTGAAGCCCTTCATGAAGGAGATGAGAAAATTGATTTAATTAAGTGTATATAAAATATAGAATGAATCATACTATTTAAATTATTTTGTGTTATGGAACTACTTCTCATGATTTGCTTAAAAAAATTCAACCCCTTCCCCCAATTTTTTTTCTGGCTACAGTCCTGGCTATGGCATACCTTCAGAGTACTTCAAATTTATAGTAACACTAAGATGGGGCCTGCTGTGCAAGACTTGTTTAATGGGTATTTGAGTCTGAAAAATGTGACTTGTTTTCTGAGTCAGTTTATTCTATTATTGAACAGCTCTTAAAATCCAGACATTCTTCCTAATGTTTAGGTGGAATTTCTTTTCTTGTCATTTGAATTCATTAATTCATGCGCTACCCTCTGAAGCAACAGAAAAGAAGCTTTCTCCACCTTCTGCATGACATCCCTTCATATATTAAAGATAGCTATTTTGCCACTTCTCAGTCTTCCCCAGTTGTCTACGTTCTTTCTTATAAGGCTTGGTTTCCAGATCTTTGAAAATTTTGGTCACCCTCCTCTGTGGTGCCTAGAGCTAATATTCCAAGGAGAATAGACTGTCACTGTTGTTCTTCTGATCTGGATACTATTCTTCAGTTGATGCAACATTGAAAGTGGAACAGTAGAAGGGTCATCAGGTCTCTATGAGGTTATATAATGATTACCTGGATGCAGGTTGAACATGTTTTTCAAAATGCCTTTTTGTATTACTTTGATGTTCATTCTCACCATGGAATTGTCTAGAAAATATTAGAAATACTATTTCTAAATATTTCTGATATAATGTTCCAATAATGTTCCAATTTCATCTCTAGGGGAGCCAAAACCTTAATTCACAGGCAACGTCTTAGGAAGCCAAACAATAAGATGGCCCACACTAAAAGAACAGCAGTAGCTGTCATATGCTGTCAAGTTATAAGTTGACTTTCTCCAGTGTAAAATAAAAGATATGACAAAACTAACAAGATTGTTGAACTAGATTTCCACCCTTCTGAAATTTAACATGATGACCTATTAAACTTTAGTAAATTTGGTAGCCTTTCAGCATTTCTGTTGGTTGTCTCTATTTATTGATACCCTAGTGCTGTTGCAGCAGTTCTTTAATGGGGTTTCCTGGGGTTTAGAGGAACCTTTGTGGTTTGAGGTTGAACTTGTTATGCATTTAAGGGACAAAATGCTGCACAGTATTAAAAGGGAGAGGCTTCTGGGAAAGAAAGTGAATGTGGTGTGACCTAAATTATTCTCTTTCCCCCCTTTTAACCATTAGGTAGATTTTCATTAATATGGCCATTAATTGGATATTTTTTTGCATAGGTAAAGAAGTTTTACTGAACTGCACAGCTTTTCTGGGTTATTCCAACGATTCAGATAAATTCAGTTTTTACTGGCTTCACAATGATGACATAATAAAACCATGTGGGAATGACACAGAGATCTCACTATGCCAAATGGAAGAACATAAATAGTAAGTAGTGCTCCTAGAACAATACTATATATTAGGCATGGATAGAGCCTTGTCGGATTACTTGTTACTCATAATAATTTAGTTAAAGTTACCTTTTTGTAGCGATTTTGAAGCATTTTAAAAACCCAGAAGTCCCTTTGCCCTTCCTAGGCTTTTCCTGCCATTTTTGTTACGACTCAGGAAATGATTCAGCATATTTTCAGGCCTCTAGCCTTCTGGAAGGCTGGGAGGCTTCTTGCCTCCCCTCCCAGCCAATCAGGGGAGAAGTTTTGGGGAGGGGAGGGGTTTCAGCACTGGCAGCCATTGCTGTATATAAAAGGGGAGCACATGGCTCAGAGGCTCATTCGTAGCAGAGGTTAAGGGTTTCCCAGGGTATCTGTCTTGCATTGTTATCTTAACCAGCTGAATGGGTTTAATGGCCAATTCCAAGTCCTGGAAACTTAACAGTTAAAAATATGGAAAGATGTGTCCATGCGTTCCTCAGATTCAAAAGATGGTACCATTTTTGTGTGGATAAAATGACATTTAATTCTTGAGACAATCCATTCTGCATATCCATAGAGTTCCCCCTCCTTCACACTATGGTAGTGAAGATTTAGGTGCTGCATAGTCAATGTGGGCATCTTGGATAGTTGGAGCCCCAACATTTTAAAAAATATATAGCCCATCGTGTGACTCTTTGGGAGATAAGGGGGTACATGTATCATTTGTTTATTTTATTTAAAACATAAATGCTCTTCTCACTCCGAAGGGGACTCAGGGCGAAGCACACCATATATATTGGATGGTTGCGTGCCAGCAGGTTGAGGGTGAATCCAGCAAAGACAGAGATCCTATGGCTGGGTCAACCGGGCAGTGGGGATATCCAGCTGCCTACCCTGGATGGCGAGGCGCTACGCCCGTCATCATTGGTAAAGAGTCTGGGAGTCCTTTTGGACCCTCTGCTGATGATGGAGGCCCAGGTCTCCGCCGTTAGCAGAACCGCCTTCTTTCATCTGCGGCAGGCTAGACGGCTGGCCCCTACCTGTCCAGGGACGACCTAGCTATGGTGATCCAGGCCACGGTCATCTCAAGACTGGACTACTGTAATGCCCTCTACATTGGCCTTCCTCTGTCGGTGATCCGGAAGCTCAAGTTGGTACAAAATGCAGCTGCTCGGCTTCTTGCGAATTCCGATGAGATGCCACATAACCCCAATCTTACTACAGCTGCATTGGTTACCAATTGAGCACCTGATCACTTTCAAAGTGATGGTACTCACCTTTAAGGCCTTGCATGGTCTGGGGCCGATGTATCTGAGGGACCGCCTCACCCCCTACCAACCCCAGAGATCCCTCCGTTCTGAGGACCAAGATCTATTGGAAGTCCCCAGTGTCAAGACCTTGCGTCTAACAGCAACCAGACGCAGAGCCTTCACAGCAGTGGCACCATCACTCTGGAATACTCTGCCACTTGAAGTCCATGCCTTGCGAGACTTACCAGCTTTCCGCAGGGCATATAAGACATACCTGTTTCGACAGACTTTTAATGTTTGATATTGTTGTTTTTAAATTGTTTTAAAATGCTTTTAAATTTTGTTAGATTTTAGCTATTCTTGTAAGCTGCTCCGAGCCCCAGGGGAGTGGCGGCATATAAGTTTAAATAATAAATAAATAAATAAATATATGGCAAATATCATGTTTATGGGTCTTTCTGGATCATATAGTGTATTTTGCAGCAGGAAATGGAACAGAATGTGATATCTCAAAGAGTGTTCTATGGATTAATGTAGCCAATAAGTCTGTAGGTGTTGGACTAAATGCAGTTTTTCTCAAACTGTACTCCTTCAGGTGTTTTGGACTTCAGCTCCCAGAAATCCCAGCCAGCTTACCAGCTGTTAGGAATGGTGAGAGCTGAAGTCTAAAACATCTGTAGGAGCACAGTTTGAAAAACTCTGAATCTGTCTATCTATCTATAAGCTTGGGGACCCAGCGATGCCCGTGTGACTTGAGAAAGACATTGTTTGTTTTCGGAAGTTTGATAATATCTCTGGATGCAGGGTGAACTACAGTTTCTGTGTGGGTAGGTCATTACTCCCCCCCCCCCAACCCCTCCAGTATGTTATGTTGGCTCAGGTTATTTGAAAAAGACACTGTTTGTTTTGAGGTGTTAGGTAATATCAGTTTGGCAATTGGTAGCTCTATTTCTTGGAAAAAAGCCAGTCTTTCCTGTTGTTTTTTTTAATGAATGCCCCCATTACGAAATTCATAATGATGTGGATGAACTGCAATTCCTAAAATCGTGGTCATCTGTGGCAAGTGTAGTCCAGATCCATCGTTGGTTGGCTTCACAGTGCTTTCTGGATGTAGGTGAACTACAACTCCTCTAAATCATGGTGAATTCTTCCCAAACGTCTTGATCAATTACTAATCAATTCCTGTTTGCCTTGTGTCATAGGAATGGGTAGGAAAGGGTTAAGTGAGATGCAATGGGTGGAGTCATGCAAATTTGGAAGGAGAAAGGAACCCTGGGATGTCCATTCTAGAGAAAAAAACAGAACATCTAGGATGAAATGGTCCCAAATGAAAGCATTCCTTGCATGGTTTGTCTTTGCCTTCTTCTGAAGATGTGAGTGTAACTTTTTGAATGTAACTTATGCAAGGTCACCCAGTCAACTTTCATGACAAAACAAGGATTCAAATCCTGGTCTCCAAAGTCATAATCCAGTGCTGAAACTCCTATATCACACTGGCTCTAGGTATAATACTGTGTGTAAATCAGGAAAAATTCAGAAAAACTGTAGGTAGGCACATATACAACAAACATAAAGCTGGTGTGTAATGTATGATTAAACCTCTATGTAGCAATGGCACTGGGAGGCACACAGGAGCTGGAGCTGCTAAACGTTGATTCTCTCTCATTTATTTGGCAGTTATGAAGAACCAGGATACTATGTCACAAAGATCTTGCGGATTAAAAGTGTTAAAGAGGAAGACATGAATTCATCGTACAGCTGTATTTTTTCCAAAGGAAGATTAATACGTCAGATACATACATTGCTGAAAGGTAGGGTATAATTTAGTGTAATATATGTCTAGCCACCAAAAACAACTATTAGCAGTAGAAATGTGAGTTACACTTTGCCCACAGATGGTTTAGGCCACTGAAGGTCAAATCTGGTACTTTTAACTGAGTCAGAAATAGCATTGTGCAGTCAGTAAAGGACAGTATGGGTATCATATCATATAAAATGTGTAACTAAGCCAGAGTTCAGTTTTCCTTTACAGGGTTAGTTATGGCTGCTATGTACCTTATAACTTCATCACACGGAGACTTGGAAGCATCCCAGAATGCTGCCAGGATGCTTCTTCAATGAAGCCCACTGGATGCCATCACATGATGTAAAGAAACTTTTGGCCACACTTCGTAGAGGAAGCATCCTGGCAGCATGCTAGGGCACTTCCCTGAGAAAATGGGAGGCTTCCCGTGCTCTAATTAAGAATGGGGGGAAGCCAGGTGGAGATCTTTTCCCCCATGTGATGGGGAAAGCAGCTCAGCAGTTGATGCATGGTGAATGTCCCCGCTGCCACCAGGCTTATTAATCTCAGTTTGATGTGACCTTTAGTAAGCTATAATGAGCCTACTATTTAACTCCCTATATAGACCACACATATAGGCTGAGAAAAAGAAAGAGCTGACCAAGAATTAAGGCAGACATGGCAGAGATGAGATTTCATTCGGTGCAGTCAGTTTTATCAGGCCATTTGATTGAACATTGAACAAGGAAAACACCAATAGCAGCATTGTGGTGTCTTCTTCAGGGTAATTCCCACTCTATAAAGTAATCTCCAAATATATTTGTAAAAAACCAGAAATGAAAAGATATTTGTGTTCTTCTATTTCTCCTATCACATTCTTAAAATAATAGAAATGAAAGTAACATGTTCACTATAACAGACAAAGCAACTTTTGAACCCTACTGAAAATCAATAAAGGGAAAAATATTTTTGTTGACAGTGAGACAGTCATTGAACTAGTATGGTACACTTTGTATTCCAATCGGAGAAAGTATCTTAAACCCATATTTAAAATACTTGTTATACTAAGCAAAGGATTACTTTCAGATGCTGTTAGATTGAAACTCCTGTCAATGCAAGCCAATGATGTGGGGTGATGGAGGTTGCCTTCAATCCAACAACAACTGCAAGTTGCCTATTTCTGATTTATAGCTAAAGCAGTGCATTCACATCTGCAACACTTTTTGGTCTCATTCATTCTCTCTTAGATAATCCACACAGTCCCTCTTAACATTTATGTTGCTTTCACAAACGTAGCTTTGGGGAAATTTTAGCTGACCCTTAGGATCAGGATATAGCAACCAAAAACATTACAGAGAGATAAATAACTTTTCAATAAATAATTTCTTTAAAAATGTCTTGTTAGAATTTGTTGTTTTTACGAGTAACAGAACCTGAAGACAGGTTGTAGGAACCCTTTTCATTTTGGGTCAAAATATTTATGGTCATCTTGATTCTGCCTAAAGGTGTATTGAGTTGGGTTGGCAGTGCAGTGGTCTGGTAATAATTTATTATCATTTTTTAAAAACTTGATCAAGTTTCCTCAGAAGGATTTTGTCTTTTTTTTAAAAAAGCAATAATCAGTTGCTTTCTTTCCCTTACCCAGAAATTTCTAATCCAGATCTACCTGCCCATGTCTTTACAACTGGACTTATCATGGCAATATTATTTTCATTTGCTGCTGTGTTTATCGTGATTCTGTCTGTGGTGTTCAGAATTGAACTTGTGTTACTGTATCGAGAGATAACAGGGAAGGACGAAACTTTAGGAGGTAAAGCATCATGGGAATCACTAAATATTGTTCAACTTGCTTCATATAATAATTGCCTATTGATATATCAGTTGTATAGTGTTAATTTTGTGATTGTTTTAAATTTGATATGTTACTTATTTTGTTTTATGTGATCTACTATGATTTTATAACTGTAAGCCGTTCTGAGTCCCTTGTTGGGAGATGGGGAGAGGCATAAATAAAGATGATGATGATGATTATGCTTCTTAAAGGTTGGGTGCTACTTCAAATAATTTTGCCCAGGAACCACTCCCTTTTAATCTTGTAAATACACTCTGAGAATTGAAAAGGGTCTGTAATTTCCTCTGCCTTGTGTTTCCTTATTCAGAGAAAGGTAGGATATAATAATAATAATAATAATAATAATAATAATAATAGCAATTCCTACTCTTTCATTATTTTATGAACTTTCATGCCCTTAATCTATATGGACTGAGGGATGAACTTTTTCTCAGGAAACAGTAAATATGCAGAATCATTCATAGTTCCTTCTTCTTTTTAATCCAGAAATCAAAACTACTGATAATGCTTATTGGGGAATTTTGGGAGTTATTGCCGACATGAGCAAGTTTTCCAGTCTTTTCACAATGTTCAATGGGTTAGGGGTGGTTAACTGAAATCTACGATCAGGAAGAGTGAGTAAAGTTGCACATCCTGCCCTTTATTCCATGCCCTCTCCCCATTACTGCAGCTGGCACTTATTTTATTCCAATGTTTACAGCCTGACCATGGTGCCAATAATTGATCGCCATGGTTAGAGGATTGCAGCTTGACTGAGTTTATGTTTTTATATGTGCTTGTTTTATTTTATTGTATTTTATATTGTGTTCACTTTTATGTTTGTTTTAGGCACTTTGTGCCATCTGTAAGCTGTAAGATGGTGACAGGATATAAGAATAAAGTTTTTGTTTTTGTTGTTGTTGTTGTTGTTGTTATTATTATTATTATTATTATTATTATTATTATTATTATTATAAGTATTGCCAATAGCATATATTGTGGAGGATGGCTAATGCATATCAACAAGATTTTGGAAGCAAAGCATCTCTTTTGTTCCCTTTAGAGCAGTGGTCCTCAAGCTTTTTTTTTGACCAGGGCCCACTTTTAACAGGGACCACTTTTAACAGGGGCCACTTTGACCAGGGACCACTCTCCAACATTAGTACCAAAAGGGGTGGTGCTGGTAAGCTCTGCGGAAAGGAGCGGAAATAAAATAAATAAAGAAGAAGGAGGTTCACGGACTGGATTTTCATTCTCACGGCCCACAGTTTGGGAACCACTGCTTTAGAGTTTTTAGAAGATGTTCTCCCAATGCCAATACTGAAGTAAAATTTGACAGTCAGTCAGTCATAAATATTTCTATTTTGAAAAATTGTAGGTGTGTAGTAGGGGCGGATGGTATATTTTCCTTTATTTCAGGCAGAAAACAATCTGATCCAGCCCCCATGTTTTTCTGCTGTAATGCTACAATTCCTAGCAGCAAACCTTGTGTTTTCCAAAGACAGATTAGAAGAAAACAGAAGAATGATGTTCTTATAATAATATCAATTATTCATTTGGTTTCTGTAGATGGAAAGCTGTATGATGCCTTTGTGTCTTACCTGAAAGACTCTGTACCGATATATGGTGAAGAGAGAAAATTTGCATTGGAGATATTACCCAAAATATTAGAAGAGAATTTTGGATACAAGCTGTGCATCTTTGAACGAGATATCTCCCCTGGAGGAGGTAAGCTGGTGGGGTGGGATTACTCTTAAAAACTTGAGTGT